GACCTCCTGGCTCACCCCAGGAATGTGCCCCTCCCTCATCACATCCTGTCCCTCTCCTTCCTGGCTAGAGCGGAAATCAGCTCAGGTTTGGGTCAGGAGCCCACACGGAAGGCTCTGGGCAGTAGGGCCTGGAGCCAGGGAGGGGCAGCCCTGTGCCCAAGGCGAGGGTCACCTGCAGACCCCAGTGGTAAGACTCCAGGCGACACCAGGCCTGCCCTGCCTAGGTCCACCATCCCTGGGCCAGCTTGGCGGGGACTCCTGTGTGTCCCTGACCATGCCTGGCTGGACAGTACCCCTGAACACCCCCAGCAGCCTGGCCGGGTGCCATTTCGCAGATGGGGAGAGCCAGGCTCAGAGCCCAGGGGCTGAGTCAGGGGCTGGCCCAGACAGCGTGGCTGTGTGGGGCCTGAGCAGACAGTGGGCCCTGTGCTAGGGCCAGGACCCTTGTCAGGGGGGCAGCCCTGACCACGCTCCTCACCCTCCACCCCGCTGGGACGAGAGGAAGTTGCCAGGGGTGCCAGACCTGCTGCTCAGCTGCACCCCAAGGAACAGAGGCAGAGCCAGGGCAGAGGGTCACCCCGCTCCGCCCTAGAATGGCTGGGGTCCTGCCTGTGCCATGGCTCTGCCTGCCCCACCTAGCCTTCAGGAGCTGGAAGTGCGCCCTGGCCCCAGGGTCAGCCTGGGTGTCCCTAGGCCGTGGGGCAGGTCAGCAGGCCCAGGCCCTTCCCAGACGAGGACTGAAGCCCGGCAGGGTGGACGGCGGGCCAGCCAGCCTGCCCCGAGCGCGGGTCACGGCAATTGTCTGCGGCAGTTCCTGGCCGGCCTTCCTCGCAGGGCCTGGCCGCCTGAGTGTTTGTTACTCGATCTCTAGCCTCTCGCCCTTCAGCCAGGTGTCTGGGCTGCTGGGAAGGAACGCTCTCCTCTTTCCCACGCTCCCCGACACATTTTAATGAATTAGCTGGAAGCCCCGCCCCGCTGCCCGGCCCTCCCTCCCCTGCCTGGTGTCTTTAAGGTGGCCGCAGTCCTCCGTGGCTCTGGCCAGCTGCCCCCTCTGCTCTGCTCTGTCCTCCCAGGCCCTCCCAGGCTGCCCCAACCGTCCCACCCAGCCTCCCTGCCGGGGTCCACGCTGCTCCCACGGCTCCCTACTGTGCTGACTCGGGGGAGGGCAGGAAGGGGGTGGTCCACTGGAGAAGGGGCTCCACATTGTCTTCTGGGAGTGGGTGGGGGGTGCTCGGGCCAGCGGCCTCAGGACCGGGCAGGGGAGGAAGGGCATGCCTGCCTTGTACCCACGTGGGGTCAATCTCTCTGGCCCCAGGTCAGGGCCTCACCTGTCAATGAGCAGCCGCACCAATGACCTCCACCAGCAGGTGCGGGGTCTCCTCACGGACCCCTCCCCACATCAGGGACCAACATCCACCTTTGGATGGGAACTTCTGCCACCCTTGGGAAGTGCTGGCTTGGCGCCTGCTGCAGACCCTCCCCCCCTGCCCTCCAAGCCATGGTGGAGGAGAGCCCAGTGCTCTCTCAGCCCTGGGCCCCTGCACTGCGGCACCCCAGTCCCCCAGAGGAGCTGCCACTCTACACTCAGGGCCCAGCAGGCCAGTGGCCTTAGGGTAGGCTCCCGAGGCAGAGGGGCTGCCACCCCAGGCTCTCTGTCCCTGCCAGGGCCGCCAGAGCTGCCCAGGCCTCACCGGAGGCCACCGCCGATTTCACGGCCCGTGGCACGGCCTTGCATTCCCACACTGTGCTCACACGGGCCCCTTTGTCTGCGCCTGCCCCGGTGTCCCTGTCCACAGGGCTCCCAGGCTCTGCTCCTGGCCCTGCGGCTGCAGACGGCCCTCTCCTGGCCAGAACGCCCACCTGGGCCCAGGGCTCTGCCCACTGCCGGCAGAGCCTGTGGCTCCTGGGCAGGCACGGGGACATGCAAAGGCCAGGATGGACACCCTGGCCTTCTCTTCCTTTTCTTTTAAAAAATTTATTTAGGGACCAGCAGTTGGCATAGTGGCTATGTTGCAGGACTCCCATGTAGTCGACCGTGGTTCAAGTCCTGGACCTGGTAGCTTAAACTCAGGCGGGGCACATGTGCGTGCATGCCCAAGATCCCGAGAGGAGAATGGAGGAGAAGGGATTGCAGCTCGGCCATCCCCCCGGGGGGTGATTTCTCGCTTTCTGTCTCTCTGTCTGTGTGTCTTTCTGGCAAGTGCATGTGCACTATAGCAAAAAAAAAAAAAAAAAAAAAAAAAAAAAATTTTCTTTCAG